CAACCCACAAAACCGAGCTCAGCAGTGAGCCAGACTTCGCGACCACCAGCACCTTGCCCCACGCCCACTTGTACAACTTCCTGTGACTTTTACTAGTTATCATGGCTGTTCCCACACAGTTGGCTTGTACGTATGCTCCGCACAGTCGGGGTGAGACACGCTAACAACACTCGCAGACCGCTCCGCCAAGGGCATCGGGATCTTCAACGCTGCTCCAGTGTATGAGGCTCTTCCAGGATTCGTACGGTAAGTGTCTAGACTACGCCACAAGTCCTCGCGCACATCCGCGTCCAGTTCTGACGCTGACTTGCACAACAGACCCGAAGGCAACCTTCGCTGCTGCTGCTACTCGCCCGATAGCAAGTACTTCGCATGGGCAACACCTGAACAGGTTTCGGTGATCGACGCCTCAGTCGGCAACGTCATTACCACACTCCCCACACCGAACGTTTACGAGCTCGGCTTCTCCCCGCTCGGCACATACCTCATCACATGGCAGCGCCCATCCAAGGACGAAGACGGCAACGCGGCGAAGAACCTCCGGGTCTGGAAGACGCTCTCCGACGAAGCTGAAGATGACGGATCACGGGCAGTCATCGGCGAATACGTTCAGAAGAACCAGAGTGGCTGGAACTTGCAGTACACGTCCGACGAGAAGTACTGTGCGCGCGTTGTAACAAACGAGGTGCAGTTCTTCCAGTCGAGCGACTTGCGCAACCCTTGGAACAAGCTCCGCGTGGAGGGAGTGACCGACATGGCGCTCGCCCCAGGCAAGAACCATTCAGTTGCCGTTTTTGTTCCGGAGCGCAAGGGTATGCCCGCTGCTGTCAAGGTCTTCCAGGTCCCTCAATTCAGCCAGCCGGTATCCCAGAAGACTTTCTTCAAGGGCGACAAGGTCCAACTGAAGTGGAACGATCTCGGCACCAGCTTGATTGTCCTAGCCCAGACTGAGGTCGACAAGACGAACAAGAGCTACTACGGCGAGACCAACATGTACATTCTCAGCGCCAACGGCACCTTCGATTCGCGCATCCAGCTAGACAAGGAGGGTCCTATTCACGACGTCTCCTGGTCGCCAAACTCGAAGGAGTTCGGTGTCACCTATGGCTACATGCCCGCAAAGACTACCATCTTCAACCAGCGCGCGGTCGCACAACACAGTTTCGACCTAGGCCCACGCAACACTATCCTTTTCAGTCCCCACGGTCGCTTCGTCATCGTCGCCGGTTTTGGCAATCTAGCTGGAGATATGGACATCTACGATCTTGAGAAGAACTTCGCGAAGGTCTGCCACGTCAAGACCTCCAACTCGACCTATTGCGCGTGGAGTCCGGATGGGCAGCATATTCTTACGGCTACTACGAGCCCGCGTCTTCGTGTTGACAACGGTGTTCGCATCTACCACGTCAGCGGGGGCCTCATGTACAACGAGGACATGGCCGAACTCTACCACGTCGTCTGGCGCCCTCAGCCAATCTCGATGTACCCTCTGACCGACCCCTTGACCAACGTACCGGCACCGCATCCGTCTGCGCTCGCCTACCTCAGCACCCAGAAGACACCGTCCAAGCCTGCGGGTGCCTACCGTCCCCCCGGAGCGCGCGGAACCGCTACACCGCTACACTTTAAGCGTGAAGATGAAGGAGGCGCAGCTTATGCCAATACTGGTATCTCCTCCACGAACGTTGGCTTCGCCAATGGATTTGGCAAGCCGCGTCGCCGTGAGGTACCAGGAGCAGAAGCTGCTGAGACCCTTCCACCGGGCGCTGCTCCCGGCGGCGGTGTTAGTCTTACCGGCGCTCAAGATGGCGATGGAGAGCTCTCGAAGGCGGCTTTGAAGAACAAGAAGAAGCGAGAGGCCAAGAAGGCTCGCGAGGCCGCTGACAAGGCTGCTGGACTCGGCGCTGACGGTGCCAACGCACCCAACGGAGCTGGACGTAGCCCAGAACGTCGCCAGCGCAGTCGCAGCAAGAGTGGATATGAGCAGCAAGGACGAAGCGCCAGCCAGCACCGCAACTTTGGCAACAGCCCAAACCGTCAAGCCCGCCCGGACGGTAACCAGCGCCAGAACCCTGCGCAGCAGCGTCAGCAGGCTCCAGCTCAGGCTCAGGCCCCTCCCCCGATCCAGACTGAGAGCCAGGTTCCTCCCCCTGACCTCACCGTCACCAGCCCTGGTGACGGCGGCAACCCTCAGGACAAGAAGATCAGGGGTTTGTTGAAGAAGATGCGCGCCATCGATGAGCTGAAGATGCGTCAAGCCGGCGGAGAGAAACTAGAGGACACCCAGGTCAAGAAGATCAGCACCGAGAAGCAGATCAAGAAGGAACTAGACGCCTTGGGCTATAGCGGTTAGAAAACACTATAGATGCATGTGAGTCCCTCGAGGCCTAAGCATCACAACATGTAGTACGTTAGGAGATGAACAACTGAGTCATGTATTGTTCTCTGCATTCATTCATGATCTCGTGATTAGGCTATGACCCTGCATGATAGTACCCTAATGTCCAGGTACCTTCCTCCACGCTGGGCCGTCATTCATGGACATATCATGAAGGTCGGACTGAAGGATCGGTAGGCACATCTACGTGTTGCTTCTAGTGGGAGGCATGTCCGCCCTGTGTGCCTAGCTCGGAAGCGAGTTCACTGCCTTTTTTGAAAGTGCCGTCAGGGTTGCGCTGCGTGGAATATGTTAGCTACGAACTCATCGACCGTACTTTAGGACAACTTACGCCACTCTCGTTGCTGGAAGTCTGAGCACTAGAGTCGTTGGAAGAACCGTGGGATGCGTGGCCGCCCTCAGCACCAAGCTTGCTGGCGACCTCTGAGCCCTTGGTGAAGGTGCCATCTGGGTTACGGCCTGGCTCGCTGCTGTTGGACGTGGAGTCTGTAGCACTGTGGGAAGCATGACCACCTTGAGCGCCTAGCTCCTTTGCGAGGTCTGAGCCCTTGGTGAAGGTACCGTCAGGGTTACGGTCAGCATTGCCGCTGCTGCCGGTGGATGTGGACTTGACAAAAGGTCAGTCACTGCACATTAGAGTGAGGGTATCCGGCACGACTTACCTCGCTGTTGCCAGAGCCGTGAGAGGCATGACCACCCTTGGCGGCAATCTCACTGAGCTTGTCCTTGGGGAGGTTGGCGAAGTTGGAAGGGTTGGAAGAAGCCATGATTGATGATTGTGTTTGATAGAGGTCTGATTGAGTGTTGTAGTTTGAGAATATGGGTCAAATTGGTTGTAAGATGAGAGAAGAAGCAAAGACAAAGTAGGTCTGTTTATATCCCCTCACCTGTACGCGCTCCTGTTTGCTTCCCCTAGGCAACACGTCACAAATGCGGGCAGCACGCCTGCATGCGAGCCTGCATCAGGCTTCAGTCTCCACCTCGAGGCATGTTAGTGTCGATCAAACGTCCGCTCACGTCTGATTTGCCGGAAAAACGGTTATCTTGAGGGGGAAGCCACTGCAGCCTGCTTGCATCCTTGTGCCATGTTGCGGACTGTGTCGGGCAGGGTGTGATGTCATGTCACGTGATTTGAACGCGTCGCGCGTACTCACGTGTTGCTGTGCCACGCGGCGGCCAATCAACGTGCTCGGGCGGAAATGACAGGTCGTGTCCGACGTCACGTCCCCGACGCGAATCTCTGGGGCTGGGAGATGCTTGCAATCGTCGCGATACTCTTACGACTCGTCATAGTTTCCTTACTATTATCTTCGTTGCTCCACGCATCTCCGCTTTCCCCATATTCTACGTCGATTGACAGTGCCACCATGAGTCTAAAGCGTAAAGCAGCGGCAGCGGCCACGGACGCGTCCAAAAAGCCCAAGCAGAACGGCAGCATTACCGCCTTCTTTGGCGCCCCGAAACCCAATCCCAATGCACCACCCAAGCAGTCTGCTGCAGCCGCAAAGTTCGATAGAGATGCATGGGTCGCCAAACTCACAGACGAGCAGAAAGAGCTGCTACAACTTGAGCTCGACACGCTACACGAGAGCTGGCTGCCGCATGTCAAGGATGTGCTGCTGACACCCCAATTCCTCGAATTGAAGAGGTTCCTGAAGAAGGAGTTGGACAGTGGGAAGACTGTATACCCGCCGATGAAGGACGTGTACTCCTGGTACGATCTCCCACATCTTCCGGGTGCCAGCTTGAGTAACGAAGACTAACACTGATCAGGTCGCGACACACACCCCTCAACACCGTCAAGGTCGTCATCACAGGCCAAGATCCATACCACGGCCCCAACCAAGCCCACGGACTCTGCTTCTCCATCCGTCCACCGAACCCTGCGCCGCCTTCGCTCATGAACATCTACAAGGCCCTCGAGAAGGAGTACCCAGACTACAAGCGACCCCCGAACAAGGGTGGTCTTCTGACTCCATGGGCTGATCGTGGTGTTCTACTCATCAATACCTGCTTGACCGTGCGTCGTGGCGAAGCAAACTCACACTCGGGCAAGGGCTGGGAGCTGCTTATGCAGAAGGTCATTGATACTGTGGCTAAGGTGCGGACGAATGGTGTTGTCTTCCTGGCCTGGGGCAGTCCGGCGCAGCAGAGGACCAAGGGCATTCCGGTGGACAAGCATCTTGTGCTGAAGAGCGTACATCCCAGCCCGCTGAGTGCGGCGAGAGGCTTCGTAAGTATCGCCTTCCGGCATGTCATGATTCAAGTGCTAACGATGTGTAGTTTGACAACGGTCACTTTAGGAAGTGCAACGAATGGCTGGAGCAGCGTTATGGCAAAGATGGTGGCATTGATTGGGACTTGAATGTTGATGCTGAAAAGACTGAGTTGTAGTCGTATATTGTTCCAGTCTAGCCTTCCAGAGTGCCGAAGGCTACAATGAGAAGCTGAAGTTACTAGGTGCTGACCGTGGGTGGGTTTGAGGTATGCATTGCGCTAAATGTAGTACATTAGTAACAAGTAGAGGTGCGTTCTATGTATACATTATTCTAGTAATTAGACGTAAAAACATTGAAAAAGAACTAACGTCTTCTAGCCCCTGCTACATCGGGACGCCATACTTCTCCTGGAGTCTCCGCATAACCATCCAGTGAACTAGATCGCGCGCCGCAGTTGCATCTTCCAAGCTATCATGACCTTTGTTGCCCTTGGTCTGAATGTCCGTGTCCAGGTATTTCTTTAGCAGTGTCTTCAACGCCAGATCACCCGTGCCCTTTTTCTTCTTCTTCTTGGGCTCACCCTCAGTGGGGTTGGTCGAATCGCCCATTGTCTGCGCATTGGTCAATGGGGTGAGCATGCTACTCGTCGCTAGTCCTGTGACCTCCAGAAGGCACTCCTCCACCCTTCTTGCCGCCTCTTCACTAAGCTCTTTTTCTCTGGCTTCGATTGCCTTCTTCTCCTGAATAATCTTGTGCTCTACGACGTAGGAGTCTACAACCTTCGTGTGTATCCACTTCAATGCTTTGAGGTCATTATGAACGCTGTGTCCGACGAGAATAGTGTCTGGACCGACAAACTTCCACAACAATTTTCTCGCCCCAATCTGAAATTAGTGTACAAAGTCAGTACATGTCTTCCTTCAGCTTGCATACGGAGTGACTTGCCTTCCCCTTCAGCGTGGTCTTCTCTCTTACAGCCTCATTCATTTGATCCCAAGTAACGCCCGACCACTTTGTGTTGAGATGTTGCATAGGTTGATCAGGCTTGACAAGGTTGTTAATGAGCACTTCTCCGGTTAAGTAGTCGATGGCGCTCAGGCGGATGAGCTCAGAGTCTCCACTCCTGGCTGTTCCCATCTTCAGAATGGGAGTGAGAAGTCAGTATGTTTCACACACTTTTTGTAGATCTGGAAATACCTCGCAATCGATCGCTACGGCGAGTTTGGCGTTTATCCTGCGGTCCGCATCCCAATGACGGAAAGGTGGAGTCGGTTGGAATTGATGTAGGCGTTCGAGCTCACCTGGTCGGTATTCACGTATCCTGTGCTTGTCGGAAGTTCTACATGGCTGGGCCTCCGAGACGTGCTTTCCGCAGCACAACCAGCACTAACAAGATTAGTTGGGTTAGGCAAAGTAGGGCCAGACTGCGCTCACCTTTGTAGCACGGTCAACTGGTGCCGAGTGGTAGTGACACTCTGTTGTGCAATACTGAAATCCAGAGGTACCGTTCTCGTATGGTACGATCATACTTGGCAATGTTTTGTAGGGCGTGTCCGGTGGATGTGAGAGAAGTTGTTGGCTACGGCGCGTTATGGCCTGTTGTAGACCCTTGCTAAGCTGTTGGATAGCTACCAGAAGTTTAGCAATATTCTTGAAATCAATATGCACATTCAAAGCACTGAGATTGCACTTACTTTGATTGCATTTACTGCATCTCCGTTTCAGATGAATCTCCTCGTCTGTCAACTGTGCAAAGTTGTAGCCATGTTTTCGCAGAGCATGTGCGGGTTCTAGCAGGCTTAGAAACTCCCGAATGTAGTAATCCCCGGGCGGCAGTTGGAGTATTGAAGGTGCTTCGCCCTCGCATGCTTCGGGTGGAGGGGGATATGGGACTACATCGCCGGGGTGAGTTGGTCCCGTTGCTCCGGTGTCCATGATCCGAGATAATATAGAAATCGGATTCTTGAGGAAGTGTTTGACTCAGCCTGATGTGAAAGGTGCTGAAAGTAGTCCAGGTTTCGACTCTAGGATGCGGTGTTTGCCTGGTCAGATAAACCTAACGCTTTCCTCTAAGGCTACAGTCTAAGTGACATGCAGGGTAGCCATCGGTGCTTGGAATATATTGCCTGCGAGTCCTGCGGGGAGTGGCAGACGAGAATGGTGACAACGGTGGTGATGCCGAAGGGTCTATGTGATGGAAAAGTGGGGGAAGCGGAACCGGGATGGCGCGTCGACAAGGGTAAGTGCGCTAGATCGTGTCGCGTCTTCCAACATCGCCGCCAGCTGGGAGGTGCCTTCTCCAGCAAGACTGTAAGTTCGTGCTTTCTGTGTGTCGTAGTCTTCAGATCGTCGAGGCCATGAGTGGACAAAGAATTCAACATTATACGACACCTTGGCTACTGCGCCGTGTTTCACTCCAGCACTGCACGCAGGGCCACCGCCAGACAGCTGGGTCCAGCTACTCATTGTACCTAGTCTTCAACCCGTGCTGGTATGCATGACGTCATATGCCGCCGGTAGATGGTAAATCAGCCTAATTTAGTTGATATTCCATGAACCATATATCCTCGGTAGCGCTACACAACAGTATAACTTCCCAGGTTAGGTAGAAGCGCCGAAGCCTCATAGACAACCGCCCAGACAGTGCGCAAACATGGCCAAAGCCACAGCATTCAACGTCCTCGTTTTCAGCAAGACCACAGGCTACCGTCATGACTCTATCCCAGCTGGTATCCGCATGTTCCACAAGTTAGCCAGCGATACGAATCTCTTTAAAGTCACAGCTAGTGAAGACGCCTCGCTGTTCACCTCGTCTTCTCTCGCGCAATATCAAGTCATCGTCCTCCTGCAAAACATCGGCGACGACATCTTCACTCCATCCGAACTAGGAGCTTTGAGGACCTGGGTGAAGAATGGCGGCGGTATCGTAGCTATCCACGGCGCAGCTGCAGCTATGCAAGGCAACGAATACTACACAAACTTGGTCGGAGCCAGTTTCGACATGCATCCCGATCCTGAGCCTGGTACCGTCGTTCCTGAAGAGTCTGGCCAAAAACACCAGATCATGAACTGCTGTGGTGGGCGTGAGGGCTGGAAGGACGAATGGTATAACTTCCACACTCATCCAAGAGAGAATAAGAACCTCCAGATCTTGCTTAAAGGTGATCCGAAGACGTTCCAAGGAGGTAAACACGGAGATGATCATCCGTTGGTATGGTGTCAAGAGTTCGAGGGTGGAAGGATATTCTTTACGTCTTTGGGTCATTTTGATGAAGCGTACGAGGATCCATGGTTTGTAGGACAGGTCGAGAGAGGGTTGCTGTGGGTATCAAGGAGAACGGGGGTTTGAAGTAAGGGCTCTGGAATTGCCCGTGTCTTTCTCAAGGTGAAAGGGAAATTGCACGGTGACGCGTTGCGGTGAGGAGCGCCTCCTCACCGCGAGTGACAGTGAAATAGTGTCAACACACAACAAACGCTCACCTCAAAAAATCTTCAGTGTCGCATCCTCCATACTTTTCTCCAATCTCTCCTCTCATCACACGCTTTTAATTCCGTTTCCCATCACACACAAACCACAATGCCTGCCGCAAACGAAACCCCTGCGCCGTCGGCACCTGCCGCAAAGCCGTCATACTTTGAGACGATGCTGGAAAAGGCGAAGAAGCTGCCTCCGGGCAAAGCGAAGGAGGCCGATAGAGAGGAGCGTGAGATGCGCGAAAGGGCGGCGGCTGATCCAGAAGTGGCGGCCTACCTTGACTACCTTTGCCGCAAATTTTTGGGCACTGGAGCGGGTTCGGTGAGACTGACTGCCAGTTTGAAAGATTGGGAGAGGCAGCAGCAGCAGCAACAACAAGAGGAAGAGGAGAGGAAGAAGAAAGAGGAAGAGGAGGAGAAGGCGAGGAGTGAGCGGAAGAGGAAAGCGGAGGAAGACACCTCCCAGCTTGGTACGTTTCTCTGATCAATGGTCTTATTGATAGACATGGTGAACTAATATATCTATAGACCAATCCGCCACCAGCCGTAAGGTACCCCGAGTCGTACCAACTGCAGCTCCGACTGCACCCACCTTGCCTGGCCCCGTCACAGCCTACCTCAACCCGAATCCCGATCCGGGGTGCCACGTATCGTGCGCGAGTAGCGACTACCATCCCAGAAAGCCCTGTCCTGCCGCTGTAGCGGAGGAAAAGCTCGCTGCTAATGCAGCACGGGAGGAAAAGCGCGCCGCCAAGAAAGCAGGTCGCCTTCCCGGCCCATACATACCTCGAGCAGAAGACTGGCTCTGCCGTTGCAGCTTTTGGAACGGCAAGTATACGGATGTCTGCCGAGGCAACGTGGGAGGAGTAGGTGGTGTTCCGTGTGATGGTGTCCGAAAGGACAGTGTCCGCGTGCAAGAACCCGGCCCGGGTATAGAGGAACCGTGGCCGTGTCGGGCCAAGTACGACGGGGACTGGTGCTGTGCGTGTGGGCGATGGAACCGGCCGTATATGAAGTTCTGTGGAAAGTGTCCTGGGCATATAGATGAGACCTGGGTGTATACAGCGGTAGATGGGGTTGATGGCGAGTTGCCAGATGCTCCTGAGAAGGAAGGATATGAGCCGACAGAGGCTCAGAAGAAGGGTCGGTTTCTCGCTACCCATCAGGGGTATTGGAGGCCTAAGTCGAGGCGCTATAAGTCTAGGTAGAGTGTGGTGAGGACCTGTTGGCCTCACTTTGGTCTGTTGGAGTGGAGGTTGCTGTGGTGGGCTGGAGGATGTTAGTTCTTATTCGATGTTTTAAAGTTAAGTTACTAGAATAATGTATACATACAACGCACCTCTACTTGTTACTAATATACCACATCTAGTCTAATATAAATCTTAAACTTATCCAACACTTATTAAATTAAGCTTCAGATGCAGTCAAGTAGAGCTGTACGCCTGATCTAAGATTTGTTCACTCCGCACGCACTTCCCATCGCCGGCTTCACCTTCACTTCTCCACCCCATACAAACTGATGAACATCGCCTCGCATTCACTATTTGATCAGCGCTGCAGCATCCCCATATCCAACTTTGTATTTTGATCTGAATCAACTATATGTAATGTTTAATTCTCAAATTCTCCATCAAGCAGTCTGCTATGGTTGTTCACAGCGTAACCATCCTACTCGCTGTGAGCGAGTGTAAAGGCCATTGCCCCGAGTTCGAATCTCGGTAGCAGACATCTGCAGGGAGCCCTTCGTGGCCGTATTACGACCCTGTGGAGCTTGAGCGTAGGAGCCTTAGAGAGCCCGTATACAACCTACATCTTTTTTTGCCTTAGCAAAAAACATCATCTTTTTGCATCCCTCTTTTCACTTTTCCACAACACTCTTAAGCGACTTGCGTTTTTGCTAGGCAGCCCAACACGAAAGAACACAAAGACGCACGACCCACAAGCTTAGAGATGTTCATGCACTTCATTCGTTAACTGTTAGATCTAGATCTTCATATCATCCAGAGCAGCCTCTAGATCAATGATCTCCTTCGCCTTACTACTACCCGCACCCTTCCTCTCTCTATACTGCTTGGCCACAGCCTCCATCACCTTGCCCATCTGCGCGTCCTTGCCCTCCGCCTCAAGTTCCTTTTTCACACGCGCAAAGTTGGCTTTGACAAAGACCTGGTACTCGCTCTTCTCCCTCTTGCCATCCTTGCCTACAGCAGCACTAGCGCCAACGCCCCTAGGGGTGGGCTTGGTCTGCGCGAGCTTGCCCTTGCACTTGCCACATGAGTGGCGCGCCGGATCGACGGACTTGGAGTGACGCTTGAACTCGTAGCCGCAGGAGATGCATTCCCAAACGTACTTATATTCGATCTGGTAGGAGTGTTTCGTGGTGACCTCGACGCCTTTGCTGGCGAACGCGACGGTAGCTTTGCGACCCCAGGACTTGAACTCTGCTCCGTGGGGGTTGTTGCGCACTTCGCTTATCATGAACGTGGTCAGGTGGCAGAACTCGTGCGCAAGTACGTTGTAAAGCCTCTCCTCGTCGTCAATGACCTTCTCGGCGAGTTCGATGGAGCAGTGGTGTCGGATCTCGACGCGCGTGTCGGTGGGAAGGGGACCGGTTCGTATGCGAATCTGCTCTCTACGCCAATTCGCGCGACCGGCTGTTGTCTTGAGGGTCTTAGACCAGACGAGCTTGATACCACCTGTGGGTTTCGAGAGCTCGTGGATGCGACCTGATGAGATTGTGGTGTCGAGCTCGATGAGGAAGGCTTCGGCTATGGCGTGCTTGCGTTCGGCGAAGGCTTTGCGTTGCTCACGGATCTGCTTGACACTCGGGACCGGCTCACTCTCTGGTGTCTTCTCCTTAGCTGGTTTCCGAATTGTGGGCTTCTTCTTCTTGGGGCTCTCGATGGGGCTTTCGTAACCCTCGTCACTGCTGTCTTCTAAAGCAACACCTTCCATCATCTTGACTATGTCGTCCCTCCATTTCTGCTTCTTGGGCGATACGAGCTGCTTAGCTGGCGAGTGGCGGTCGGTCCAGTCGTTGACAGCTGCAGGATTCCAGAACGCGTCGAGGCTTGGTCTTCCGTCTAGATCGACCGCCTTGGGGATCACGGGCTTCTTTTTCGAGGGCGAGACGAGCTTGGTGGGACTGGGAGGTGCCAGGGGAGGAGTGGCTGGTCGCGAGATGGGCGGAGCTTTGCGGGGGGAGCGTTGCTTGGTAGGTGTGGGCGAATACGTAAGAATTGCAAGCGGACCGTTCGATGCTGAGCTAGCAGGCCGAGAAGATGCTGCGAAAGAGCTTGATCGGGCGTGGGTGCGTTCAGGAAGCACGAAAGATTCCGGGGCCTCCGGCGAGTCGGTGAGGTCGACGACCTCCTGTGCCCAATTCGATATCGTACTATGACCCTTTCGATGTGGTGGTCTCATGGAAGTCAGATCAGTCGGCGGTTTGAGTTCAGGAATCTTGAAGATTGGTTGCTGAGGCTGCTTGGTAGGTTGTGGTGCGCTTAGCTCACTCTCGTCCTCCTCGCTGTCAGATACGACGCGCCGTGCGCGCGGTTGTCGCTGGTTTGTTCGCGACTTTACGACAGGCTCGTCCTCTTCATCATCCTCGCTGATCTCGATGACTGGTTCAGCAACCTCTTCTTGTGTCTCTGCTTCCTCGTCGCCACACCACAGACTTGTTTCGGCCTCGGCATCCTCGTCGTCTTGCGCGACTGCCTCCTCTGTGCTCTCATGTTCCCTACTTCGTGACCGTTGGGCGGCCTCTTGTGCCTCGACTTCCCCTACGACATTGATCTTGCCTTTCTTGTTCCGCTTGTTCACCACGCTTCTAGCCAGGCTTTTGGCATACATAAGCCCATTTCTATTCCCCACATCCGTATCTGTTGTTCCACTGCGCACTCTCCTCTCTCTTTGCTTCTTCTCTGGGCTTGCCAGACTTTCGTCACTCAATTTTCGAAGGAGTCGGCTATTGCTCTCGACCGGTCGCAATACACGTTGCTTGCGGGGGCTGATAGTATCCTTTGGCGTTGCTATCGAAGGTATGCGGAAGGACTGCTCTTCGTCTTGCGATATGCTAATGTCTTGCGCGGTGCGCCTCGACCTCTTTGGCACAAGTATCGAGCTGTCATCTTCTTGCGAAGATGCGTATCGTAGGGTGGCTTTTCGGGGACTGGATCGGCTTGCTCTCGTCTCGGACGGTGGCATGAAGATACTGGGTTCGTTCGGACTCGGTTTGCGTAGACGCGCCATGTTGAGGATATGCAAGCAAATCTTGTAATGTGTAAGGATATTCAAGCTGTTGTGCGCGCGATTGGTTCCAAGAAGGTTGTTCGCGCAAGGATGTCTAGACGTTGGAAAACTGCCGAGCGTGTTTGTTGTCGGCCGTTGTCCCGGTGACTAGCGGGAACGGGTCCAGGATCCACTCGCACGTTTGCGGCGGTATCGTGCACCGTGCCTTAGCCTGCGCGCGTCATCCTCGGTCGCGCAACGTGTGGAATGTCATAGCTCGTACCTATATTCGAGTTCTGGGAGTAGCCAGGGCAAATACATGTAAGTTTTGTTAGCTGTACAAAACGATGAGACGTATCCTGGAGGTATTCGCAGCAGTTGTCTACTACAGCACACGGGCGAAAATCGCAATGTATACTTAACTATACCTCGTGTTTTTGCGTACGCAAGCCAAAGCGCTACACGTCTTCGCCAGTTACGTTTCAGAGCGTCACTCACATCACAGCAGATACAGCTTGTAACAAGAAAAAATCAGTCATACATTGCATGCTAATCATCACAAATACAAGCAAACCCAACTACATTGAGCCCGAAAGACCGATCCAGGAGCTGTTACTGCTGCACCCGTCTGCGGACGCCTAGCTCTCTCATCATATTCTGCTTCACCCCTGATTTGACTTTCATCCCCAATCGTGAAGCATTTGCGGGGTATTCCGTCCTCCTGTATTTACATCCCGGGCGGTGATTGTTTTCGTTCGTTCTCTCTTCTGTGCATCTACTGCTTAGCGTTCTTGGCCATGGTGTTAAGAGCGCTGCCGTTCTTGAACCACTCGATCTGACCCTCGTTGAAGGTGTGCGAAAGCTTGACCTGGAAGTCCTTGGATCCATCGGCGGGGTGGACAGTCATGGTCAGGGGCTTGCCGGGGGCGAGCTCAGTGGAGGCCAAGGTCACACGGTCGTTGGGACCGATCTTGTCGTAGTCGGCAGGGTCGGAGAAGGTAAGGGGAAGCATACCCTGCTTCTTCAAGTTGGTCTCGTGGATACGAGCGAAGGAGCGGGTGATGATGGCAGCGCCACCCAAGTGCCTGGGCTCAAGCGCAGCATGCTCACGGGAAGAGCCTTCTCCGTAGTTCCAGTCACCACTGCGTTCGAAGTTAGCAAGAGGCTGGTAAGCGTGTATAGGAAAATACTTACATGACAACCCATGGGACGCCGTTCTTCTTGTAGTTTCGGGCGACATCAGGGACGGCACCGTAAGATCCGTCGAGAAGGTTCTTGACCTTGTTGGCCTCGCCGTTCTCAGCGTTGATGGCACCAATCAACATGTTGTTGGAGATGTTGTCCAAGTGTCCACGGTACTTCAACCAGGGACCGGCCATGGAGATGTGATCGGTCGTAGTCTTTCCTTGGCACTTAATAAGGATAGGGAGGTTCTTCGCATCTTCACCGTTCCAGGCGGCTGTAAAAGTTAGTATGCACCGTGTATTTCGCACAAGAGTATTGCTTACAGAAAGGCTCAAGAAGTTGGAGACGGTCTGAGGTGGGCGAAACAGCGACAGAGACAGATGAGCGGTCCTCTGGTGGCGCTTGGTAAGTATCCTGACCTGGGTCGTAGCCGTTGGCGGGAAGACCCATGCCGGAAGGCTCCTTGAGCTTGAACTTCTTGCCATCCGCTCCCTCGAGCTCATCTACTAAAGGATTGAAGTTCAAGGTTCCAGCAATGGTCATGGCAACAACAAGGTCGGGGGAGGTAACGAAAGAGTGGGTGGCGGGGTTGGCGTCGTTACGGCCAGTGAAGTTGCGGTTGTAAGACGAGATGATGGAGTTAGCCTCGCCCTTCTTGACATCGCGGCGATCCCATTGGCCTGGAAATTCGTTAGCAGATGCTCAGATACGAGTTGAAAAATAGCAGCCCTGAAGCATACGAGGGCTTTTATTTTGTCAAGAGACAAGACAAAACGTATCGGATACCTCCAGGCTACCATGAAATGAAGGGGGAACTAAGCAGCTCTGGAGCATACGAGGGTGTTTACTTTGTCAAGAGACAAACCCAAACGTATCGAGTACCTCCAGGGTGCCATGAAATGGAGGGGGGACTCAGCAGCCCTGGAGCATACGAGGACATTTGTTTCTTCAAGAGACAAACCCAAACGTATCGTATACCTCCAGGCTACCTCGTCATGGAAGGAAATACGGTAGCTCTGAAGCATACGAGGGTGTTTATTCTGTCAAGAGACAGAACAAAACGTATCGTATACCTCCAGGCTCTACCGTGGAAAAGAAGGAATATAGTACTGACCGATACAAGGACTAGAAGGAAGTTAGCACAGTGTCTGGACATTGAAGAGGAGGGAAAACTTGCCCGCAAGCATTCGCGAGAACCATGCCGCCGAACTCCTCGAAGGTCTTGAGCTGACCGTCGCGCTCGATAGTGGCGCGAATCTGCTCTGAGCCAGGGGTAACAGTGAAGAGAGACTTGGCCTTGACGCCGTGGGACATGGCGTCCTCAGCGATGGAGGCAGCACGGCTCATGTCCTCGTACGAGGAGTTGGTGCAAGAACCGATAAGACCGACCTTGAGGTCCTCAGGCCACTTGTTGGCCTTGACAGCCTCCTTGAACTTGCTGATGGGTGTAGCTAGATCGGGGGTGAAGGGACCGTTGATGTGGGGCTCGAGCTCGTCAAGGTTGATCTCAATGAGTTCGTCGTATTCGGCACCCTCGTCCTCACGGAGCTGGGCAGCGTACTCGCGGGAGAAGTCACCAATGTCGCGGCGCTTGGTGGCGGAGAGGTAGTCGTACATGCGGTCGTTGAAGGGGAAGAGCGAGGTGGTGGCACCAATTTCAGCACCCATGTTGCAAATAGTCGCCATGCCGGTGCAGCTTAGACTCTCGGTACCGGGACCGTGGTATTCGACGATAGCACCGGTTCCACCCTTGACGGTGAGGATACCAGCAACCTTGAGGATAATGTCTGTAGACTTCGTTAGCGTGGTTGCCCCGCTTCGAAAACCAATATTAAGAATACGTACCCTTGGGAGCAGTCCAGCCGGAGAGCTTGCCAGTAAGCTTAACACCAATGACCTTGGGGGCCTTCAGTTCCCAGGGGAGACCAGCCATGACATCGACAGCGTCGGCACCACCGACACCAATGGCGGCCATACCGAGACCACCGGCGTTGGGAGTGTGCGAGTCGGTACCAATGAGGAGAGCACCGGGGAAAGCGTAGTTCTCAAGCACGATCTGGTGAATGATACCAGAGCCAGGCTTCCAGAAACCAATGTTGTACTTTGCGCAAGAGGTGGACAAGAAGTTGTAGACCTCCTTGTTGATCTCGTTGGCGCGCTCCAAATCCTTCTCACCACCAACCTGGGCCTCGATAAGATGGTCGCAGTGGACAGTAGTAGGTGTAGCAACGGAGGGCAGACCAGCTGACATGAACTGAAGAATGGCCATCTGGGCGGTGGCATCCTGGCAAGCTACACGGTCGGGGCGGAGCTTGAGGTAGCTGGAGCCGCGCTCAATCTCTTGACCGTGGGGGTCGTCCAAGTGGGAGTAGAGAATCTTCTCGGCGAAGGTGAGCGGGCGGTTCAAGCGGGCACGAACAATCTCGAGGTTCTCGTTCATCTTCTGGTAGTTGATGTAGTGGCCCTTCTCCCAGTTGGTCATCTCGACCTTGCGAGAGAGGGGAGCATCGCTGACGGTGGCCAATTGCCTGCGCGAAGCAAGGCTCTGGCCCAGGCGGCCGAGCCTCGAGAACTTCTGCATGGTGAAGTTTGAGGAGGGGAGTGGTGTGGAGAGAAGAGTGATGGAGGAAGCGGAGGAAAAGAACGTCAGAAGCTGCCTCAAGTTGGGCGATAACTAATGAGGATCACGAGGGGCGTGATTGGTTCGTCTAGCCCCAGCTGCGTGCGGAATACCTCGGCGCCAGAACCAGAAACAGGTCGGCAGCGCAGTCCCGTTGGCCCGCTTCACGTGCAAGGGCGATGTAATGGAGACGCAATTATGGAGAGAGTAATTGCGCTGTGTGCGACTGGCTGCCCGCTGCTATTTCACGTCTTGGAGGCCGCGTAGCCATGTGTCGGGAAGCTATAGGTGTTCACCCAGACGTCATACCCGGCAGCGGTTCACCCACCCCGCGCTCGTTCCTTTTGCAGGTGATTGGCGTTCTGCGATAGCACATTCACGCGCCCACTGCTGCCGGCGGCCTGCGCGTCCTTTTCCGACTCAACAATTGTGTGCCGAGTCAGCGTGCAGGCCTGCAGACATGGCAAATTTCGGGTCTGGAGCGACAGTAGCATCTACCAGCACCTGATTCGACCTAGCTCCACAAGTCTTTCTGACCTGCAGACCGGGCACGGGCCCCCGTCGGCAGGTGTCCCCACACTGCAACTTTCTCTATAGCCGACCATCACGATTCCACACGGATAACCGACGGCCGCGGATACTGCCCACCATGCCAGCCATACGCGGACAAGACTCCAAGAAGAAGACACGTCGACACACGCGCGACCTCGACCAGATCCACGCCGACCTGCGCGACGAGAAGCATCTTGCGGAATTCAAGGATGCGAAGCCCATAGAAGATTTGCCCGGCCTGGGCGAATTCTACTGCAAGGAATGCGCAAAGTTTTTTGAGAGCGATGCCAACTTTGTCGCACACCAGAAGGGCAAGGTCCACAAGCGCAGGTAGGAATCGCAGTGTTTACGATCATGATTATTATTTCTAATCAATCTGCAGAGTCAAGCAACTTCGCGAAGAGCCCTACTCGCAGAAAGAAGCAGAGGCAGCGATAGGCCTTACGACCAACAACGGAACGCGCACAACCACCGCGACAGCCCCGATGGAGGTTGACCAGGTTGCAGCATCAGGTTGAGGTCACGGCAACGGCCAAGACTATCTGATGTACAGTCCACGGCAGATGGACGGCAGGCTTAGGAGTGCAGGACGACCACTCAAATGCTTTCGGGGGATCAGACATCACTCTGGTGGCAACACGATAGCTGCGGTTAGGATACCGTCGGGCTCGTAGAAGAACATGCATTGCACGGCGTTCAAAACTGGCATTTGGGACATATAGAAGGACAAAAGTTCAGACGATACCCTACATTTCAAACCGAAACACAAGTTTCCAGAATGTCATGACCTTGTCGTAGTGACTGTTGTGTCTTGTTGTCCAAGTCAACAACATTATCTGGCTGCTGCGTTGAGCTCATGCTGTAGAAAGAATGAACCAGATCAGTACCAACAGGATGTAAATTCAATTTCGCTCACACAATTACTTCACAGCTACCTAAGTAGAATGCTGTGCGCTTGCTGCGTTGTCAACAGAACGTTGGTAGGTTGCCGTTTTCCATGCTGCCTGATGTTGCCTGGTGGCTACCTACGTCCCTTCGCGCCATCACCAACATCGAATTCACAACATAAGAACCGCATCTAGCACTGCAGAGAGTGCAACAAGCAGCAACAAACCTACCGTCGAACACGAAGCTACAAGATGGCCTTCACAAACACCCCTCTGTACGGCGGCGCAATAACCCTCGACCTGCCTTCAAACTTCGCCGACGCATCGTAAGTTCTCATCCTGCGCGCCCCCCCACATCCCGCGCCTTCCCTTTGCATGCGTTTCCATCAACACCTGCGTCCAAAACGCCTAAATCGGCAGGCACTTACCTTTCCCAACCCAACATGCAGCATACTGAAAAAGTAAACAAACAGTCAAATCCGCCAAATCCCCGACCACCAGGAAGTCTACCTCGACAACAACGGCTACTCCAGCATCGTCGTTGAGATCCTAGAGTATGTCGAGAAGAATAGCGATGAAGAAGCGCTGCAGTATCATTTTGGGGATCTAGTTGAGGGAACGGGGGATCAGAGTACGATTATCTCGCAAGAACGTGCTGTGATGAAGAGTTTGCCGTAAGTATTCCACCCCATCATTCTGGAAAAGCGAAGCAGGACCGAGGAAAGAGAGGATCAAGTTTTGTATACAGAAGCGTGGATGAATGGCTGACCACAATGACAGAGACAAGCCAGTCCTAGCACTATCCTTCATCCAAACACCACCAACACCCAATCCCCATCCCAACCGCAAGACTCCCGAATTCACGTATATTCACCTCCTCCTTCTCCGTCTCAAGGAGCAAGGCACTGATGTATGTATACCTCTTCTTTCCAGACATATACAGTTTATCCCATTGTTGGCTAACACTTCTCGCAGGTCATGGTATCAGTCAACATCCCACACTATCCAGGCGAATACACGCCAGCAGAACAGCAGGGTGGAGAAACGCCGTTGATGAAGGATAGCAAGGCGGTCAAGGAGCAGGTTTTGGAGAGCTTTCAGGTGAAGGAGTGGGGGCTGTTTGAGGGTTAAATGGGAAGAAGAGGAGGAAGAGCTTATTTGGAGATGTATGACTGGGAGTGAAAGAAATGGAGTGGAAGGAAAGGATTAGGTCGAGACATGTAAGAGGGGAACTTGCGAAACAAAATAAAGTGAGAGGGGCAAGATGTGAGCCGGCGATCTTGACGGGAGAGCCACAAACATGTAGTCATTAGTTTAGATACTGTCAAACAGCAATAAAGATCAACTTAAGCAGCCACCATCACAAGTATGATTCAAATCAACCAGAGTTTTGCAATGATTTCATCGTTGTGCTACTTGCATCATCGGAGACTCCGCTATATCCTGGGTATGATCCTTCACGTATTCTCCTGCGGCTTCTCCATACACGTTTCCCATCACCTACATGTCTGGTATCACTGGCATACTCACCTTCGCCATACGCTGTTAAGCTTGACACTTCACTCACCAACACTATGTCCGCTCACTCATACTGACTCACACGGTTCAACCTCCTACGCATCTCCTCCCCTGCAGTGGGTGCCCGCTCATCTAAGCTTGGATCAAGACTCATGCGCTGATGATCAAGCTCCCCCGGATGAGGTACACCATTCGCCTGAGCTGCAAGGAACGGCGATGGCGGAAGATCGGCAAGGTTGGTATTAGGCTGTAGCCCATGCATGAGTGCGGGATCGACTGGCAGGTCGTAGCCGTTATCTTGGGTGTACTGTGGATAGATTGCGCTCTGGTGCTGTGCAGCTTCGAGCTGTAGCTGGCCACCAGGTGAGTCTGAACGAGGCGGTGGTTGTGTTGGTGAGAACAAACTCGGCGGTGTTGGTGTCAGAGTTGGCTGGGTAGTGGTTGATGACAGGAAACTGGATCCTGATCTCGCCTCTGCCCGTGCTTGATTCTGACCCTGGCGCATAGCCGACAGTCCCTTGTTCATCTCGCTACATTCTGGACAGTTGCGTATGACCTGGCTGACAGTCTCCTTTATGCGGACCCAATGGTAGAGCTCCGCAATTGCTGCCGTAGTCTTGTTGATGCCCCCATGTGACTTATGATGTATCTCGCGAGCGATCTCATACTGCTGCTTGGGATCCGCAATAACCTCTTTGCCCTTGAGCCACAGCTTCTCAGGTCCATCGCCCTCTCCGGGTGTGAGCTTGTAGTGCGTCGCCGCGCTACGAAGACGGCTCTTTTCTGCTCGATCAGCACCGTTGGGGTATTTTCCGTTCTTGAGATAGAAGCGGATCTTGTCGAAGCGCTCCTCAGACACAAACTCGTCATCCTGACCCAGGTCCCTTCCGTATATGATGGCGTCGACAAGCTCGCCGGGATATGACTTCAGGTTACCGCAACCCTTCACGCGACCGATCCGCTTGAAGCCGAGGGCGTCCCATATGCGGCAGGAAGCGACATTGGTTTCGTACACGAGGTTGAAGACGGAGTAGGTATAGCCCTGAGCGTGTTAGCGCATGCGATGTAACTCTCGCGGCGGTCTCACAAGCTTCGGAGCCCAGTCCAGATAGGTCTCACCCATCAAGCGACCGACACCCCGATTGCGCGACGCATCCGTGACTAGGAACCCGCCGTTACAGACATGACTCGACCGTCCTGGGTAGTTGGGCTTGATGTAGAAGCTACCCAGACATTCCCTCTCCCAGTCACAACCCCTCCGCGCCATCTCGTGTAGTTCGCGACCGTCCTGGATCTCACCCAGCAACATGATCGCACCAAAAACACCGAACCAGTACGGACCGAATGCCTCCAGAGCGAGCGGATCAACCATGGGGTACGTATCTCCCTTTTCTATCTCGCGACCCAGTTGGTCGCATAGGTATGCCAGTAGTGTGAGGGGTACTTGATTCGGCGCAGAGAAGGGTATGATCGTTGCGGTAGTCACGCGATCGCGCAGGATGACTTGACATGGTGCAATGCCTACAGGTAGCGGGCCACCGGGAGGAGGGTACGGTACATCGCCAGAGGTTCTGTATATCACCGGCGCGGTGGGGTCATCTAGCATGGCGGGCATGGCGGGCGGACTGGTCTATAAGATATTAGCATGGCAATCATAAAATGTTAGCACCCGCATTGGGACCGGGAAGCTGTCGCGACTGCGCGCCTCAGACGCCATGCTGAAGAGATACAATGTGTAGACGCGGTATGCGATGACGATGATGGTGTAGGACTTACGCAGGAATGCCTGAGGGACCCTAGGAATGGTCAAGCAGGATGAGAGATACTGCCGTGATGTGGTGCTCGCGGTGCGCGCCCAGAGACATCGGCCAAAGAGTCACTAGCGCCTTTTGGTACCAGCGGGGCACAGCGCCGTCGTCCACGCGAGCCGGAGCTCGTCATGCCTGCAGCTTGCCTTGGCTGAGCGATTCCTATGTGATGTCCGACATGTGTGCACAGTTGCGC